GCAAAGAGCAATGGATAGCGCAATCAGGAAAGCAAAATTAATTAGGAGCATTGGCACAGACTCCTGCTTAGTATTAGGGGGCCATTATTAGAGAGAGGGAGAGAGGTATTTTTGGGGGAGGATTGGAGATGTTTTTAATATTAGGGGGAATTCGGGTTATTTTTGCTGTCCCCCTAATACACCTAAAATCTGGGGCACCCCCGACTGTGGACCCACGAGTATTGAAAAACGCTACTAACAATTTTTTGGGGTCGGGCACATGTGTTTTTATTAATTGGGGTACGTTTATTAATAGGAACTAGGGATTAATACTCATTTTGTCTTCACTTTTTCTTCAGCACCCTGGCATACCCGAAAAGATCCGAACTAAATGATCAACTGGACCTAAACCAGCCAAACGGTCCTTCCTTCAAAGAAGGGACCAGCCTATCGACATAGATTGCTTACATATGCCAGGGGTCACAAAGGGGTGCCTATTAGAGGATAAGGGTGGACATGATCCACTCACTTAGGGACTAAAAACCATTCCACTTTGGAACTGCTGGCATATATCCTATTTTATCCCCGCCTGGTGGAATGGTCACTCAGCGCTTCCTATCATCACCTCTGGCCCCGAAAACCCACCTGCCAATCCTCCGCGCCGCCCCCCCCCCCGGTCTTGTCTCGTCTCTGCGCGGTTTCCCCGGCGTTCCGCGCGGTGAAGTCGGCGGAGCGCGCGGCCCTCGCGATCCGCGCGGATCGCGGTTTCCGGGGTTCGGCCTGTCCGTGGGTTCCAGCAATTTCACGTTGCGCCACCTGAGTCGTCCGTGCCGGACCGGCGGACCGACTGGTTTGAAGGTTTGGAGACGGTACCACCGGAACACGGTCGGGGTGGACGGGGGAGGGCCGGTGAAGACGTACCAGTGTGAAAGTCCGGTATGGCACGGAGCCGAGTCAGAGTCACTCCAGTAAGAGAATGGAGAAGTGCTTCTCCTGATGCGTGAGTCGCTTTCTTCCTGTCCATTCCTGCCATGTACTGGCCGAGCAAAGCGTCTCGATGGTGCTTTGATCACCGGATTCAGGAGTTTGGAGTTCTCTCACCAAGGGGGTTCTCCCCCGGCCACCTGGCCACATGCTGGCCAAACATCTACGAATGACTTGGGATCTCCAAACCCACCGGGGTAAGGCGAAATTATTCATTGTAGACTCGTGACTATATGTCAACCCCCCCATATATGCAGAGGTATTACAATCCAGTTCGGTTTCATGGTGCTCGTTGTCTTTGTGTGTGGTTTGGTTCTCTTGAATAGCGAGGATTAACATTCCACTCGGAAAGTCCTACCCGTACCCGTCGTACAGCACAACAAGGGATGGTGTAAGCGTGCCAAATGGTCCGCAAGTCCGCGCATCCAAATGATATGGTTTTATTCATACGGCCACATTTACGTATAGTAGACTCTTGATTCATCATACCCGGTTGTACTGGGACCTAGGGTCTGTACAGTTTTTTTGGGGAGGATTGACCCTTTCTCAGCCAGATCACGTGGATAAATTTGAGGGGCTGAGGTTCAAACTCAAGCAACCAAGAAAAACAGCAACAATGAAAATGGACATCTCACTCAGACTGCGAACAGGCTTTTAGCAAACAACATCCAAACACACAAGAAAACCATAGAAATACTTTGAAAGAGTTTGGTGGAGAGTGTTGTGGCAACTGGATGCTGGAGATGCTGGTTATGCAGGGCGCCCGCCCTGCATAACTCGCATCTTTGTGACCTCAAAAATCAACAAAACTACTATGTCCTAAGGGTTGACTGCTTGGCCCACCCCAAAAAGGTCAACCCAAGCCAGGAATAGGTCAACCCCCACTAAAACAAGTGGCTCCAGCCCCTAGGTTTTCTTGGGTGGATTATTTTCAGGGACAGACCCCCTTGTTAGGTAGCTCAGAGGCTGGCACCCGGATAAAGTCTTGGCTCAGACGTCATGGATTTGATCCACCCAGTACAGCCCGACTGCCCCCCATATTCATATAACCCGTTGAGACATGGATAGGGGTTAACCTTTTCATATATCTTAAACATAGCTAAACTATGTTAAACTTAATCCCTGGGTGGTCAAACATATAGATTAAGCTATAAGTAAGCCCGTGCTGGCGAGGCACATGCACTCCACAAAGGTTTTGCATCTCACCGGTTGCAAGCCCTCATCGAGCCTGGGAGGAGCGGCAGCACTGCTTCGCGGCTGCGCATGTGTACCCGGTTGTGGCTCAGTGGAGCAGGTGCAAAAGCCCTTCTTTCAGAAACACTTGGACCAGCTTCTTCAAAGTGACCTTTTGAAGGTTCCTAAGTGACCCTTAGGAGGCTTAAGTGACCGAACCAACCAGGTTATCAAAAGGTCACTTTGAAGAACCAGGGAGTTTGATTCGACTTCTGGATCGTGGACACTGTCCAGTTCGCCGAGCCGAGGAACTGCGCGTGCTGGACGCGTGTCCAAAACGGCGGACTTCGAGACATCGCTGGCAACTCTGTGGACCCAAAGAATTCGCATCCCGCGCCCCGTGCTCAGCCATTTGGTGTTGGTCCAGGGTCTCCAAGAGTATCCGAAGTCTTCAGAACTTCAGAGTCTCGGTCGTTCCGGATGGTGATCACACCCAAATACCATGCTGTGGTGGAAAACATCTCGGCATGACTGACCGAGTTCGACCGTGTCGCCCTAGCTCGCTCACGACGTACAGGGACCTCGTCCATGACACCCGGTGGCGCCCGGTGGCGGAAAGCCCTTGACGGTTGCGGGGTGAGACCCAGCAGGTGCTTCGCGCGGGTGAGCCCGGTCGATCGAACGGGCCCGCGACTCGGGTCGAAGCGTGCTGCAGAACAAGAGGCACGGTGATAGAGTGAATCGGAGAAGTACGTGGTGAGTTCTTAAGCCTTTTTACCACAGTTCTTAATGATTAAACATGGTCTTTGGCTTTCTGGGTTCAAGTTACATTTAAGACAGCTAGCAGTACTTGCCCTTCAATCGATTCCCATTCCGAACATGGCTCAAAGCCTTTAAAACGACCCAACACTGACCATCCAAAACTGCTCCCTGGTCGTCGACGTGCAGTCGATGGACTTTGAATCGATGAAGTCTTGAAACCGATCTGTTGTTGGACCTATTTAAAGCAACAATCCCTCGCTGTGTTTGGACAGGTGTTGTGACGCATCACTTCCCATGTTCTTTCCACATCGGAGATGGATCTTAGGATCTTCCAAAAGCCCGAGAAAAACAACCGATCGATCCACCTCTTCGTCTCACCGTTCGTGTTTGTCCTTACATGGAGGCACGACGACGCCACTGCTGCGAGTTAGACGTGAAGGAAAAACCGGTTCTCCACCACCGCCTCTAAGCCTTCATCCAAAACCATCGCCCTTTAACCGGAGAAGTTGAGATCTTAACGGTAGGACCATGTAGGACCCGGGCCCGACGTGCTACGGGACCCAGGCTTCGTGGCTGAAGACCTCTCGAACGAAATTACTGAAACATCTGCATTGTGCCTGTGACCCTTGACACATTAGATGTTTGCTTCAAGCTTCCCTGAGGAACCTGCAATGACTGAAAGCAGCTGAAAGCCCTTGGGACACCCACCGATCGCCCATGCGACTCCGACTCCAAGCAGCTGTTCCCGGTAGAGTCGGATCATCTCCTCCCGAAGGAGCCGGGCCTCCTCCTGCGGACGAAGAGGACACACGTCGGAACCGCGCAGGGCGGCAGTGGAGGGGCGGCGAAACCGCGTCGCAGCGTCGGTCGCCCGGGGTGGAGGAGGATCGGCGTCGCTTTTCTTCGGTTCCCGTGACCCTCGAAGTGGAGCTGGGCTGTGACAGTGACCGATCAAACGGGCCCAGCAGTGACCTCAAGCTGGGGTATATCCAGTTCATTCCAGTTCGGTCAGGTTTGAAGCACCAGGCTGGTCACTTTGTTCACAACAAAGGACGAGGAAGGACGAGGAGCACGTTGGTCGATGTTTTTTCCGGAACCGGAAGGAAACACGTGGGGGAGAAAAAAAAAAAAAGAGACTGAGGGGAGGAAACAGGCGGAAACAAGGAGATAATCCGGAGTCCATTCACCCAGCTCTAGAAACGGAATATAATGCCTAAAAATATGAAAAAAAACACAGAAAAAAGGAAGGAGTCCTGCAGAGTCTATCATAGTATGTCATATAGTCTCTATACCAGAACCATCCAACAGGGATCCGTCTCAGACAGGTGGAGGACGTTGTGACACCCCCCAATCCACTGAGAGGCAAAGGAGGCTTTACACCGGAGGTTGCGGAGGCTGGAGGGGTCCTGGTACATCCTCCCGGGCCGGTTGACCGGGTGCTCGAGAGGCCGACGCCTCAGCCAGTCCCGACGCGACCACCCCGTCGTCCGTCGTGGGTTCGCCTCCTTCAGCTCCACATGGGCGCTCTTCTGGTTCAGCTTCATCGTCACAAACTCTCGCAGCGAGACGCTGCCATCGTTCTCGAAATCATAGAGCTCAAAGATCCTCAGACAGCTTGAACGCCCATGGCAAGCAAAGAATCAGCCCTGCATTTCAAAGTTAATTTTGGAAGCATTCCGCCCTGATATAGGACCCACATATAAGGACATCATCCCATCGTCACAGATGTCGACATGGCAATTCAACAAACAAGCTCGTCTCCTAAGCGACGGCCGTCCCTGGGAGCCGACCTTTCGAGCATCTGGCGACACACCTCGTCCAAGCCATCATTCTTCACCTCGACAGATTCGCGGGACCCGGGGGGGCGCGGCAGGTCTCCGGTGGTCCGCCTCTGCTTGGGCGGATGATCTGGAAGAATGCTTGAGATGGGGACTGCAACCCTCACAGGTCTCGACCTCCCAGTGCGACCCGTCGCAAGGTTCGGGAATTCGACCAGTCGACGTTCGCCAGGGCCAGGGGCCCACACAGCATCACACACCCGGGCCCCGTTTCAAGCAAGCAGGCCTGAAGAGCCTTTACAATTCTCCTGGGGGTCGAAGGTTCAACGAAATCTAAGATTTCTACCAGGACCATCCTGTCTGGGTGTGGCTGGACTACCCTACACTATAAGGGTGTCCAGACAGGATGGTCCAGGTAGGTCTCCTGGTGCCACATGCTTCCATCCGCCACATCATGGAGTCTGACACATCATCGATGGGAGAGTCCAGGGACCGAACACATCATCAAAACGGTGGCCGTTTCCGCATCGAACTGGGCCCTGCAGTGAACTGCAGCCTGCAGTGATTGCTAAAAACAAAAACCTGCCGGGAGCCTTCCCAAACCTTTGGAAATGAAGCTCGACCTGGTGTTGTAGTCTGAAAACCTTGAAAAACCACCAAAAAGCATGTTTTTGTTGGAGGATTCCACCCCTTCAATCCATGGTGGACGAGCCAGCCACACATCGGTGACTGACGGAGTCCGAGTCGGGCAGGGAAGGCGTGTCCGACAGTGTCCGATCCTCCTACTTCATTCCCCGGAAAAGGCCTCCAGTCGTTCCTCCGAAGGTATGACTGGACCCTCTCTAAAGCCCATGGAAAACACCGGAAACGAAACGAAGGTTGGAGCGTTAAACGGTCTTTTTTTTCTCCCTGTCGAATTCTCGATCTAATCCAAGCGATGATCAATCATAAAGTATATAGCTCCTGCATTGATTGTCGCTTCCTATCTTGGGACTTGGACGTTCAAAAGTATCCCATGCAGCTGCTGGACCTCGGGGGGTGGGGGTGAGGTCGCCTGGGAAGAAGAAAACAAAAACACACGAATCGGCGGAGGAAATATTGCGCATCGCGCGCACGTCGTGCCGCGTGCCGCGCCTGCATGGGGTGAATCTCCTGGCAATCACCTCAATTCAAGAAATCGTGCGAAGTGCAGTTTAACCAGCGAAGTGCGGTGAGCATGTTTCGTCCTCTTTTGTCATGTGACATGATCAAGTATCCACTGAAGTGATGTTTGTGGTGCACGGTGCATCCATGTGGAACTGATTTGTTGTCTTCGATGAACCCTTCCTGCAAACACCTACTCATCTTGACTTCTGACCGTCGTCTTTCTGCATCTTTCTGCACTATCATTGATGGAGAAACGCTAGCCATTTGCAGCACTTCATTTAGTGCGCGCGCGCTCTCTCTCTCTCTCTCTCTTGAAATCAGCCTGTTTCTTCAATCTGAGTCATTTCCGGCAAATTCAATCTTAGATATCCTTATGACTTTCGAAATCTGCCACCTTTTCAGCAGGTAGCAGCACTGGACCCGACCCGACGGCACCTACATGTGTCACTCATCACCCTCTACATGTGGAGGGTAGCAGTGGATCCGTAGACGTGGCGCCACATCGATCCACGCCGCTTCGTGCGGATGGATGAAGCAAGAGATCATACACTCCCGTCCGGATCCGAAACTCTGGATCAAAGGACCGAATTCTGAAAGACTCTGAGAGTACCCAAACGGTGGGGGGTGCCATCGCCATCCATCATCCTGGTTGTTGACCGGAGGCAAAAATTAAAAGAACTGCCATATCCACGGCCGGCAAGTTGTTACGAATGTCCAAGTCACAGAATAGTACGTTGCCCATCGTGAAAAAAATCTTGGAAGATGCGATCTCACCCGATACAACTTTGGAGCCGGCAAGACGCTGCAGAGGCGGATGCGGTGGGAGATGGCTCCCAAAAAGACACAGGAGTGCCATCCCAAGCCACTACTAAAACCTGTGGAGGGTGGGGGGGGGGTTTCCCCGAGCGCGAAAACCGCTTTGTTTGTTTTCGGGCTTCTGTCACACCCAGATGTGAGAATGGGCAATCATCCCTTAGCCTATAGGGCTCCGATCGTCCCATCTCTTCAGGTGACCGGTGGGCACAGACGTCCCTGGCACCGACCCTAACCATCGAACCCGCCGGAGGGAATGGCCAGGCAATGGTTCGATCCCGTTGAATTCTTCGTCCACCGGGCGAACTACCGAACCGGGGCGCAGTGACCACCCGAGCTGGGCAGGGGCACGGTCTGCCCCTAGTGATCCAACGGTCACCGTCACCTTGAGGGCCCTCGCAAAACCAAAGAACATGGATTTCCGGACAAAAAGAACCTAACACGTGTTTTTTGCCCCTGGAGTCCCCTATCAAACACCCGGTTTTCCCCCAAAAACACCTGGTTTTTGTATGTGAAAACCTCTGAGGGCCGCAGGAATTATTGTTCTATACCCCCAAAAGAGTGGCATAGACGAGACCTGGGTGGCGGGAGTGGCGAGGACGTCGGGAGCTCGCTTTGGACGGCTTCGATTCACCTGAAGGGGGTCGCCTCCCAGGTGAAGGTCCCAGCACAGTGGTCTGGAGGGTGGGTGCAGTATCCGTGATCGCATGTAGACCAACAATGACCAAACATGATGGGACGCCCAAAGGGTTCTCATAGAGGGGGATTGACTTTTCATGACCTGGGCAGTCTTACTATAGTGAGTGACTAGTGGCATGGGCAACCCAGTCATTTCCCATTGACTGTCCCCTTCCAAGTCACCAACTGGTTTAGATGGATGAATCACCTCAATTGACAAAACATCAATGACGTCTACCACATCTCTGCACCCTCGTGCTTCACGCCCCAAAACAACACTTCCAAAGATTATGACTCCATGACCCACCCAAACCGACCTCCAAACAACAGGCATGTCATGTCGCCCGTGCCCCGTGCCCCGTAGCCCCCGTAGCCTGCACGTCCGAAGGTGCAGGTGCCGCGGATGCCTGCCGTGCCCGACGTTCGATTCGCCTCATCACCGACGCCAACGCAGAGGACGCGGGCGTGGACGGAGGCGACCAAGCGTATGGCTTCAAAACCCGGCAGACAAAAGCTTTAACGACCGAGGGGGAGAAGGCGACCATCCCAAACTCTAGATTCAAACCTCAGGATGCAGTAAAGGAGGAGTATTTGAAAAACTCTATAGAAGTCCAAGACCCTACTTGTTCTTGATGAAGGAGTTCCCCCAAAAATTTTAAGGTCCCCGTTCGTCTTCTTTTCATCTTGGGACTTCTAGGGATGGGATCGTCTGCCTTTCAGTGAGGCCGATGGAGCCATCTCACCCCAACCCCGCGCCATGCCAACCCCGCGCCACACGCTTTGAGCTTCGTGCAATGCCGTTGGCCTCCTGTAGTTCCTTCCAGGAGATCACCACCGGTGCCACTGGCACACCCTGCCAGAAGAAAGCCATGAAAGGAGACAAAATAGATAGTTCTGTTATGAAGAAGTTCTGAAGAAGTGCTTAAACTTTAATGTCGACTCCCCCAAGCCTGAAGAGGTCTAACTATTCATGTCTGGGGGGTAGTAAAAACATTGGTTCCGTTCTCCCAAGTGATGCTCTGTGACATCAGTGCTTTGTGCAGGGACACTGAGCACCCCGGGCCGTTGGTCTGCTCAGGGTAGCATCACTGAGCAGGGTCTTGAAGTGTGGACATACTCTTGCTCTGAACCTTAATTACTCTTGACGGGCTTGTTCATAGCTATATTACTTTGCCATGGCTGTGGGTCAGAACCCAGGGCACACCCTGGCCAAACCCCTGAAAATGAACAGGTTTCTCTATAAGGGATGTCCACTGGCCGCATGGTTTGGTGGGTACAGGCTACGTCCGTGTCGGCCGTGTTTCGGACCGGTGTTCGCTCGGTGAGGCCGAAGGGACAGACACGACCGCCAGGCTGGGACTGCCATTTGGGCCGATCGGTTGGGGTGAACAAGGGTCAATGGGGCGGCATCTATCACAGCCATTATCTATCATAAGCTATTATAATAGCTATATTATGTGTTGAAAAAAACTATATCATGCAGATCCATTTTCTCGATAATAAACGTTATATAATTATAAGAGAATTAAGTCACACATTGAAGCGCCAGACTTTTGCACTCAGCTGCATCCTGGGGTGGAGACTGGGGCCTACTCCTCCAGCAGTTCCATGCAGCTTGGGTGTTGAACATGAAGCTTAATAAGGGCGTCACGGTGTCACATCCACTGGATGGGCCTGAACACCACACCAACTCCATGTGAGACTCCTGGCTATTTCATCGAAATGGACACCCACCTACTCACACCAATAAAGCCCTCGGGCCGTCGAAATCCACAGTGAAAAGCCGGTAAATCCCGCCTCGCCACTCCAGGGCTGCAGCGCTGGCACACGGGCAAAGACGGGGCCCGTCATGGTCCTCAGCCAAGCCAGATCGGCAGATCGAGCGCAGGTGATACAGTTGCAACATGTTGCAACATCCTCAAACCGACCACGTTTTATTGTTATGTACAAACATGCCTGCTGCTTGCTTGGAGCCCTTGACATCACAAGCATCTGACTTCTTGGGGCATGGACACTTCTCTGAGCATTCCCTCTTCAGGGTCGAACCACCGCCGCTCCGATCGGATCAGTCCCCGAGCGAGCGAGAGGTTTGTCTCGCTTCAGTCGGGCCAACTGCGCTGGTCGGTTCGCAAGTCCAAAGTGAAGCTGTGACGGCTGTCGACTGTTAAGGCTCTACACCTACCCATCCCCCTGGTTTTTGCGCGCAGACGCCGCGTGACACGTCCGACGAGCCGCCAAGTTCTCCGCTCTCATGCCCCATGGCGGCCAGTTTCGCATAGAAGTTTCGCGCCGGAAGGGGGCGGTTGCACTAAGTGAAGCTGGTTGCCTCTCTTGCCAGGTTGCTGGTTTGGTCCGAAACATACCCATCTGTGACCGGAAACCGTGATGAATCGGTCGAAGGTGGAACATGACCAGCCAAGTTTGAAACTGCCGGCGTTAGAATCGGGTCAATGACCGGTGAATGAGATGACCCCGTCGACGACTTGATTTGAGTGCACTCACAAGAACTTCACGCGTCTTCTTATCGATTCATGTCCATCAACCGTTGTAACCTCTGGGGCGAGGTTCACTGTAGCCACCCTGAGCTGGTGTCTGAACTTCTGTCCCGAGCCTCTTGGGCCACCAGTGATAGAGTGAATCACCCGACATGTGTGCTTTGCTTGGAATAGGGAGATCACACAACTGCCAGGCTTGATCTTCCCTGCTACAAAGCCTTTGGCCCAAATGCTGCCATGAAGGTGTTCAGAAACACCGGGTTATGGAGCGCAGATGAAGAAAAGGTCCCTCCTCACCCAAAAGTCAAAGATGTCATCATCTATATACTCTACCACACCTTTCGCAACAATAGTGAAATATTTTCAGGGCCCATCAGGGGCCCATAAGTTTTCCATTTTCCTGCTGTGTTTTCCTATCTTACACGTCACCGTGTTTGTTTGTATGCGTTCGATGTCTGTTCGGCATCTGCAAGCATCGGGCTGCTTCGGGCAGTGGAGGAAAGGTTCGACACCAGGACCAATGAAAAGTGGGCGGTGTAGGGTTTGCTTTTCCGATATCAACGTTTTGGCACTTTGCTTTCTCGCCAGCTCATTTCCCAGTGGCCTCTTTCCAAATTCAGAGAAATGCATAGAAATGCATGTTTTTTGAGAACAAAAAAAGAACACCCTGAATTTGAGGGGTTCTCCCTTCACGACCTTGAAAACACCCGGTGATCTGCGTCGACTCGAAGACAAGCCCCTGAACCGACGGCTGGTTCATCACGCATGGACTGAGACGAGTTCGTCCGGATCAGGCGTTTTGTCATGGTGAGTCTCGTAGACTGTGTGGAAAGCTGAACATCAGGAAGTCGATCTTCTGTTTGTTCAACTTCACGTCATATCTTTCAGCCAAGCTGAACACGCAAACAAGATGTGTGCCTATGTTTAGTAAATCATGTGGCTGACATTGATACGCTTTACTAAACTTAACTACCTGGACCATCCTGTCTGGGTGTCCTGGCTGGACTACCCTACCCAAACAGGATGGTCCTGGTGTCTTTCCACATGTAGTTTGTCTATAGTAATTATATGTCCGTATGTGCATAAAGGGCCAATGACTATGCCCGAATACCTCAAACCAACTTGGCAAATGTTGAGGGCACTGGGCATGTGTTCAAAGATTCAAAGATCTTCAAATGCACGTCAAAGTTCTTAAACACGAGCGAATTTTCTATGCTCACATCATCTCACCTGTGTAGCGACCGAAAAACCTCCCGCCGGCGGACCGTCTACCCCACGGTTGGAGGGTCCCACACAAAATAATGCTGAACTTCTTTTGCGTCGGCTCATGTGGAACCAAAAAATCATCTGACTTGTCCGTGCATCTTTGGATGCGTTTGGAATCTGGACTTGGTTGAAACAGGCAGGATGACAGCTGGTATGCTAGGAATATTATATAATATTGCTATATCGGTTCTACTGCACCACTTATTGGTGTGCCTTCTTATTTCACAAGCTCAAGAAGAACGAGTCCAAACTCATGAACAAGCCGCAAGCCTCTAAGACTCTCTCCAGTAATCTTCAAGATCCTGGAGGGTCATAAAGTTGCGATTCAACTTCGTTGCTTTGAAACTTGCTCGGAAGACCTTCACACTCTTGGGCCAATGCTTCTTCAGGTGCCTAGGTTGCCGGTGCTCATCCGGACCAACAGCCCTGGCCCACGCCCCAAATCCCCAAGCCGTGAGCCGAGCGGAGCAGAGCTTGGGCATCTTCGATGGTTTCATGATTCCTCTAGAAAGTCCAAAGGCTGATTCCTTTTCGAAGTTGGTGAAGGAAAGGAAGTTCTCAAAATCATCCCCGGGGACATCCAAACGTCCAGTCTGACTCGGTCTGACTCGTTTTTTCTCCACCTGGAAGTCAATCCATCCACTACCACAGAGGGGTAAAATGAGTCAAAGTTGGACTCTGAGGGCTTCATCAATCCATTCTTCTTCGAGTCGCTACTCCAGACTCTAGACTCGTCACCGGGCCAATCGGAAGTCTCCCTGTCCGGGCAGTCCGGGTCCGGACCCGAAGGTTTGAGCGATGCACCAGGCGGTGCATGGCGAACCCCAGCCTCCGCAGCGCACTGAAGCAAGCGCAGGCTCTAACCGCCCGAACGAACATGTTCGGTCACGAACTGTGAACACACCGAACAGTTTGGACGGCGACCGAAAAAAGGCACCAAAACAGACCGAAAAAACCGTAGAAACAGATTCCGATCACCGGACAATTCCATCCCGAAGTCGTCCGTCCTCCAGGATGTCTATCACAATCTTGCCGATTAAAAGGAACATCAAAGAATGGTCTGACCTCACCATGTTCAGACACGTGCGCCCACTGGGAAAACAACCTCGGATCTTGAAACAACACAAACATGTTCTGAGAGAGTGCACTTCACCTCCACCTCCTCCAACCCAAAAACATCAAAAAACCCTCCACCTCTCCTTCAACCCACCTCCACTTGCGCTCCTTCAACACCCAAGGGGCTCCATTCCCGGAGGCCCCACAAGCACACATCCAGCCATGTGCAACTCCAGGTCTGTCAGTGTGGGTGGCAAATTCTGGGCCTCGCCATCCAATTCATCAGATGGAACAACGAAGAACGGTTCGCTTCAGAACCTACAGCCATCTCCCATCCTTCGAATGTCGAGTGAAACCACACCATGTTCATGCATTTTCTGCACCAAGGAGGGTGGCCAAAGCATGTGGGCGAATGTTGAACAGTTTCGGTGGAAGTGTCTCAAAACGGCGGCTGGATCACCTCGGACTATCTTGCAGTTCTTGCATCTTCAGATTCCTGAATTCTTGAAGATCCATCCACCCCCCCATCACCTTCAGGCCGCGCCGCTGCGCCGACACCCCATCGCCCCGCGGAGTCCACGCTGCCCCATGCGGCAAGACCTGCACCAAGCGACCAGCACGGAGAGACTGGCGTCGGTCAGCTTTCCGCAGCCCACGAAGTCCAAGTAGAGGTGCCTTACCCGTCGCGTCCGTCAACGCGGGTGGGCTGACGGACGGGCTTCTGTTTAAAGGACAGTCGGCTCGGCCTCAAAGGACCCCCCAACGGGTGGATCTTGGGAATTGAAAAAAGAAAAAGAAGACTCCAAGTGAGTGGTGGGAACCTTTTCAAGTGGTGAGATGGTGAGATGGTGAGTGGCATGGGATGGATGTATTGATGTCGAGGACTCTTTTGGCCGACTTGTGCCACTTGGTTTCAAGAATGCCCGGGATTGACATAATAGTTATACAGTTCAATATATATATATATACGAGGGCCTTTAAGGGCCTTAGTCTGATTGCACATCAACATCAGGTTGCACTTCAGCTTAGGTGGCACATCAGGTGGCCTTCCTTCCAAATCATCTCAATCGGCGTGAAAGGGGGGTGGAAGCTTGAACATCGCACCGATGTGCTGGGGAAGCTTCCGGACGATCCTTCAAATCTGGAATCTTGGGTCCTGCCATGTCCTGCCTATCTGACAAATCTTGATGATTCGCATCCCAAAGTTTATCTTCAACAACGAAATCAATCAGAAACCGTGACAGAAGGAACGTCAGACGGAGCTGCAGTCGAGACCAGCGACTGCGGCGAACATTAATTCATTTTCCAGCATGGAGAGCACAAAAAGCATAAACTGTTGATCTTCCGAAAGGATGTGTAGCTTTTGGTCGTTGCCTCTTTTCCGCAACCAGCCATAGCAAATCCAATCCAAAGCAAACTGTCTGTCCACTCGTCTGCTGGAAAAACCAACACCACGGTCCAACTACCTGCGATCACCTGCCATGTGGCTTCAGCTTCGTGCCCCAGCGATTCCTTCAGCCCCAGCTTCGGCCCACGGGGCCGGAAGCGGGCAGGCGGGTTCGCGCGAACGGAAGCGCTTCGTCATGGGTCGGACCGGTGGGATGTGATACGTGTTGGGTTCAGGGGTCCCCACGACCCGGTCCACAGGAACTGTATGTGTTGGATCGCACCGCTCGGCGCGGCGTAATGACGGGTCTTTGAGGCACATGGAGGTGTCCCTCCACCTCCACCGTACGGTCGGTGAAGTAGGTATGTTTTGTTTTTCCCGAAAGCATTGCGTTCTCCTTCCCATCTCCAAGGTCGAGTTCAAAATGGCACTGAAGTTCTTTCCGTTTCGCACGGTCCAAACGGAGACCGAACTTTGGCAGCGAAGTGGTTTCGCGAAGAACTGGCAGCGACTTCTTCGTTCGGCCAGGGGAAGTCACCAAAAACATCCGTCCAACCGTCCAACCCTGAAACGGTCGCTTGGGCAGGTTTCTCGAAATGAAGTCTGCGACATGTCACTTCCCCCAAGGTCTCCTATTCCAGCTAGGTCCAGCTTTCCTTTTCAGGAAAGCGTGGAAACCAAAAAAGAAAAACACCAGCAGCCCTCCGACCCTTTCTCCCTCCTCCGGCCCTTCAGTTCCGGTGCTCTCACCGAGAGACGCCAAGGCCTTCACGCCCTGATCTGTGAGTTCATGACCTTGGTCCATTCGAGCGGAGACCTGTTGAACGAGTATGGCCACCAGCACCGACGGCCCTGCCAGGTCACCAATTGAAAGCTAGGGCCCGTCTCCCAACCCTCCAGCCATCGGAGACCTGTTGAAGGGTGCTGGTAGACATACATTTATTAGAACAACTTGGGTTCATAGGGGATGTTTATGACAAGGTATGAGGGAGACGAAATCTCCAAAAGGAGCCATGTGCGAACGAATCTCGTCGGTCATCGAATCACCATCTTCCTGTGATCGCGTTTTTGGCCCCAAGTTTGGGAACCAAACGCGGACCAGTTGCCCAACAGTCTTTTCCCTTCTGCGCCCCATAGTCGGTGCCCTGGAGTTTGAGAACGGGGCCACGTTTTTGTCTCAACTCCAACAAAAGGAGGTCCAACTAACCTGTATGGACATGTATCACCACTTGTTTCCAGGTATTTTTGGTCCAACCTGGTCCAACGAAACAACCGACCATGCATGGGGGTTGGACCATCAGACCATCAGCCAAAGGCAGGGCATTGCAGACGGAGGCAAACGGCAGGTCCCCCGGGGAGAGCAACAATCACCAAGAAGGAACGCTGTTGCTGGATGAGTTGCAGAGTATTCTCAAATATACCTAAAAGAATCTTGCAGCGTTGATTTCCGCCGTCATGACAAAACACTGATAGTTTTGCGGCAATTGAAGAAACACGCCGCGAGTTGCTAGAAACACGCTGCATTCCCAGAAACACGCCGCGAGTTGGCTTTTAGCAAGCTTCACCAAAAACAAACCGCACACTGACATGGGCAAACACGCCGCAAACATGGTCAAACACGCTGCATGTGTTTTTCTCGACTTGATCTCCAGACCCCGAGTTGAGTCAAAATGCTGCAATCCCAGAAACACGCTGCAACCCCAAAAAAGTCGCGGCATTTCTTCCAAACCTGTTTTTTTCCTGAGCGGCATCGAAATTTTCATGCCAGTGGAGTCTGTATAGGTATGATAATCTGTAGTTGCCGACTGTTCCGACACACCCGAAATCTGTAGTTGACTTCCACCACTTCCAATCACTTCCGACGGACACGCACACAGACACAAGACGACTGCGGTCCGGTCTTTAACGAGCCGCAGCCCTCCAAGCCCAATTTCAGCTTCGTCAAGTTGGGCGGTAGAGATTGTGCCAATTGCAACATCCCAGGATCTTGGAATTCCTGGCGCCGGGAGGAGATTCTCCATGACGTGAGAAAGAGAGCCGGGGTTCGTGAGAGAGTCTCTCTCACGTGGATCGTTGAAAGATGTGGGGGATCCGTTGTGGCCTTTAAACAGAGGACCCCTTCTTTTTTTTGGGGGGGGGCCCGGGATGGTTTGATGAATATCAGTCGATCTAGGTGCATGTGTCAAGCCCATGGAATCCTCGAATCCAGTTCCCTTCTAAGAATCCCATGTCTACTTCAGCTTTCACAAAGACGAAGACACAGTATTCTATATCCACATCTCACGACCTTCTTCGGACACCTGTCGTCGTCTCCCGGTCGCTGGACCGACCAAATCTCTCGGTCCGTGCCCTTTGGGGTTTGGAAAGTCTCTGCCACCCTGCCTGAAGGTGTGCCAAACTCAGCTCCAGCGCCTCCTCAGTCGCTCGCGCCACCCGCGCGCGCGCGCGTTCCGGGACGGTCTTAGAAGCTCCGGTGGCCTCGTTCGGAGCTCCTTGACCGGGACTGGCTGCCGCTGAAGCCGAAGCATGCGCTGCTTGCGGCCGTCAGTGGAACCGGGATCCCGTTTCCAAGCCAGCAAATTGCTGTATCATGAATCAATCTCTTCCCTCACGTCCGCCCCCGTCGTCCGCGCACCCCGTCGTCCATCCCAAAAAGCGCCTCCAACTCCAACTGCTCACCGTCCAAGAAGCTCTATTGACGTCGGACGCCACGGTCTCGATCAGTTGTGTACCTCAACCAAAGCCCTCGCGTGCCCCGACGACCTCGAGCTCTGACCCTTCCTCCGGGACCGACAGTCACCGAACGTCCTAAAAGGGGGGTCATTCCAGCCCACCGGGACGATGGCGTCGGGCGAGCGAGGGTCGTTTGGGCTTGGCTCGGAGGGAGGATCGACACAGCACCGTCGGCTGCAAGGCGGCACCGAGGCGAAATGGGCGAAAGAGGAAGAGAGGCCCTCAGGTCCCCGTCCAGAATTTCTGAGCAATAGATAGCAATAGTATCCCGGCCTAGGCTTCCAACAACCATTCATGATAGTATTCATGTTTCCCATGCCCATCTACCGTGTTTTAGACATTTGCAGATTCGCTTCTCCTCCACTTCAAGCCTTCCATTTCGAAACAGGAAGTTCCATCTGACCCGTCTCACCTCGCAGCGGACCGAAGGATATAGGACCCGTCCAGAAGAAGCCTATATAGACGAGGATAGACGAGGCATCAAGAAGTAGATTCTTGGTTTTTCTCGTGATCCCCGTAGCCTCAAAATGAACTTAGGCGCATCGTGCGAACATCGATTCTTGAATGGTCTGTCCTGCAAGGTCCGAAGGAATGACCAACGTTGCACCATGTCGCACCCAACAATTCCACGATTTCTGCGCCCAAAGCCGAGTGGACGACTCCGCCAAAAAAGGCTTTCGGAGTGGACGACTTCGACCCCTCGGTCGCCCACCTACCAGTGCAGGAAAAACATGGAACCACTGAAGCAGCCCATGTTGCTCACCAGCCCTCTCTTCACGGCTTGTGGCCACGCCAACCTGAACTGAACCCGAATCGACGTTTCGCGTCGCGAGCGAAAGGCCGCGCGGCGCTGAAACGCTGCGGCACAGTGGATGACATGTTGGCACCACCTATAGATGAAAAGCTCGCTGTCAAAGGGATCCAGCACCAGTAGAAGGTATACGGTCTTAGTATATGATAGATATTACGCCGTGCTTCAACTCAAGAGGATGATTGGCTCCAAGTCACCCACGAACAAAGAATTGGCACATGCACCATCTGCTCAGTGGTCCCCAAAAGCGCTCGACTTCAGACTTCAGACTTCTTACTTGGAACCGATGACCCGACCCCTGGAGACCAGGGGTCGCACCGTGGCGGAAATGGGACACACCACGCGTTGAGAGTGGAGGGACTTGCGACCGGAGACGTGCTGAGAATCCGAAGGACGGTCTGTTGCGTCAGAATAACCTTCCTTCGAGCAGAATAACCGTCCTTCGAATTGGTCCATTTGTCCGTGATGAAGCCAACACCAAAACCGCCAACACCAAAGCCTCTCTGCTCCATTTTTGCATGTTTTATTGTTAACATGGAAATTGGCTTCCCCACGCCGGTTGAGGCATAGTCTCAGCAGTAGTGCGACGTGTTCGAGTCCACGGGGACACCCCGCTGTTGGATGCCTCGATGTCACCACTCCGTTGAGGCTCCCTGGAGCATCAACGACAATGCGTGGTCAAAAACAAGGTTGTAATAGCTATAGGCTGTATGTTTCAGTCGACGAATGTGGACTGTTGATGAATGGCTGACCCCATACCCCCCCGCCAAACACACTGGGATGGTTCCACATCTCCAGTTTTGTGGTGACTTCAGCAGTCAACATTAAAGCTCTCGCTGGCTGAGTGCCAGGTTTCATGGCCACAGAAATCACTTAGCAAACAATGCTGCATGCATGCACTTAAGAGGCAAACCACCACAGCACCTCGTGTGTAAGCAGTCTTTCTACGGCCCTGTTTACGCCCCTTCTTTTAGCCTGAGAATGGCCGATTCAGGAGAAAGCTTACCCAATATGACGCTGCGAAGTCTCCCCGTGAAGTTGAGATGCGGGGGTCTCCGACTTTTTGCAGAGACACTGACACTCTAAACCCCAAACCCCCAAATGGTTGACAGTCCCCCAGTTTGGACGATCTGTAGAATCTGTACGTGGTACTAAGGCATACTAAAACTACTACTACTACTACTACTACTACTACTACTACTACTACTACTAC